TTGCAGGGGCCAGAGGCTGACAGCCAATCTCTTTCTTGATCACTCTCCACCTTATACAAATAGTCTGAGGCTCACTGTCGCAGCTCATCTGACCAGCCAGTTTGCTTAGGAGATTCCCTTTCTCTGACTCCCAAATGCTGGGATTCTGGGCAGGCGGCTACACCCAGCCCACCTTTACATGGCTGGATTTAGAGATCCCTACTCTGGTCTTCACACTTGCATTACTCACTGAGCCATCTCCCCAGTCCTAAAATGCCCATTTCTTTATTATTTTTCAGACGAAAAAGCAATGACGGCGATATTCCTGATAATTAAGTACATTCTCCTTAGCGGTCTCTCTCCATGGACAGAACTGCCCTTCTCCCCACATGTTTATTGTTTCCAGAGTCCTGTAGTGGATGCTGTAGCCATGCCTGCGAGGGGGTGGTCAGAGTGATGTAGGGAAGGTTTAAGAGTGAGGGACACTCATGTGGCAGCCCCTTCTTTGGCTTTCATCTTTGGCTTGCTGTACTTACTGCTGGCTAGGTCGCTCTGTAAGTAAGGCTTTTCCCTATTAAATTCCCTTGTATTTCTACCTGGCTCCATATTGGTAATTTCCCACATTAGAGTCCCTTTGTAAAGTCTTGCCCTTCCATTCCCTCCTCAGGATCTCTCACCTTATGTAATCTCTTCTTTTTTTTGAAGCAATTCTGATGAGTACTTCTGCCTAATAACCTGCATGTATTTTCACTCCTTGCTTTAGGGCAAGTACAGTGTTTCATAATTCTTAATACATTATTCACCTCCAGTCTTCAAGGCAAGTTAAGTCAAGAGATTTAAAAATAGTTCTGAGAATGAAAATAAATAACTTTGCTAGTCTGACAAAGGAAACTGGACTAAATCTACCTTAATAACATAATTTCTGCAAAAATACTGAACAGATAATGCCTAAAAGTTTTAATGTAGCTGTATTTTCTAGAACTACTGAAGCAGTATTAGCGAGACTATTCTTCATAACATTTAGATGAATAGATTTTCAGGCTGTTTGTAGTAGAAAAGAACTCATAAGTTATCTTTAGTCCATCCTTCTACTGGAAGACAAACTCTTCTTCTACTGGATGACAAACCTCTATCTACTGTGTATTACTGATTTGAGATTCAGTTTTGGCCTTCAATCCTTATTTCTTCAATTCTACCAATGTTTTGCCCATTGAACTGTATTCCCTTCTTCAAAGTAAAATATCAAAAAATTTGATAAACCTAACAAATTTTGTTACATCAATATATTTTCATTAAAATATTTGAGTGAAAAGGAATAAATATAAAATTAAGTTTTAACTAAACACTACCCATCCTTGTTTATGCTCAAACAATTCAGATTATATAAGTGAAGGAGAAAGAAAACAGAAATGTAAATTATACAACATCAATCTTACACTATTATATTACTTTTAAAAATACTTTGTGTGTGTGTGTGGGTTGTGCTAGGGATCAAGTTCAGGATTTTGTGCTAAACACATGCTCTACTGAGCTATACTCTCAGTCCTAAATGCCTACTTTAGAAAGTAATAAACAGTGATCAGATAAGTCCTATGTCTTAGGACGTAACCCATAATAACAAGTGACTATAAGAAACCCAATGAGAACATGTTTTTGCCACACAGATTACTGTATCTAAAGAACTAGTTGGTAGTTCTCTTATGATGCTCTTTCCTGCCAATCCAGCCAGCTTGGCACAAAGACCTTAAAGACCCTAAACCACAAGATCAAAGTTTGTACACTACTAAAATAAACTCATCTACTCAAATGCTGGCATTTACTTCAGTTGGCTTCATTACAATGCTAAATGGTAATATAACCTCTGAAATGTATTATTCCTACCTTATATAGGCGTGACCTAGAGACTTGCAAAACTCCTCAATTGCCAGTGCCTTGGTACCATTCATATCAGAAAGATAGCCAGGGATGAAGATAATTCCTGGATTTTTGCCTTTTAGCTTCTTATAAGCCAGGTTTGGAAGGTCTGTTCGATTGAGGAAAGAGAGTGATACCTTTTGTCTGCAAGCTAAACAAAGTACACAAAGCATGAATTATAGCTTGAAATTTATTTTGGGAAAGTCACATATATTTTCAAATCTTAACTTTCTTAACTCATTGCATTTGATAGGAAATCAAAATAGGCTTTGTGCATGAGATTTTTAGTTTTAAAGTTACATAAAAAAATTTACCTTCTTAGAGCAAGGCCCAATCATACTCTTCCAAAATACACAATGAGGTGGAAAGTTCAGTGAAACAAAAGAGAGACTCATCAAAAAAATACCTTCATGTTGGTGCCTCGGGATTATCCTAAACAGTAGCAATTAAGATTTAAGATTTAAATACAACACAGCCTCTCCTCTCTCTGTTTTAACCATGTTTCAGGAGTTTCATGTTGTCTACTTTTTGACATATGAGTGGGGAAAAGAAGAACATGTATATTCCATTTTTCCCTTTCCTCTGCCTTTAGAACTGGCAAAATTGAAGGCACAGGCAATCCTAGATCTGGGAAGCAGAGGTACAATATTCAGGAGCTGGGGAGTACTTAGCAAGGAAGGGATGATGCTGTTAGTACTGAGCTCTTTTTGACTAGGTACCACTGACCTATTCCTCCCCAGGAATATCAAGAAACAGGTAAGAAACCACTGTAATTTCCTACCAACTGGGGTTTCAAAAGGCTGTCTTTAAAAAAAAAAATAACTTTGTATCAAGTATCATTCTTGGAAAAATAACTTCTCATACAACTCTGGTGTGTTTACTTTTGTTGGCTGGCTTTTTCTAAATGGTACACATTTAAATATATCAGGACAAATTGTGAATCTTGATGGGCTAATCTAGTTCACTGTTTTAATTTCCCATTATAAAATCAACACTTAAAAAAATCAAAGCCATATAAATATTAAAAAAATAAAGTCACACTTTCTTCCAAAGACAGGCTTGAATACATCTGAATAGTCATTTTCTGGGCCAATAAATCTTTTCTTTTAAAAACTTTTTTAAAAATTACTCATTTAGTGTGTGCACGTACATGCTATGCATCTATGAGGAACTAAGGACACAGTTGTCTCCCTCCACCTTGTGGGTCCAAGGTGCCTTTACTTGCTGAGCTGTCCTTGCTAGCCCTCATTTAAAAGAATAAACAGTCTGTGTGTGGTTAGTGAAACTTCTGGGTCTCTCCCATGTGTAATGCTAAAAATTCTCCCATTTTCAATTTTTTTCAGTTTATTTTCTTTGAAAAAGATGATTAGAGAGTCTAGTGTGGTGGTGCACCCCACTGACCATAACACTCAAGAGCTACAGGCGGAAAGGGATCACTACGAGTCCCAGGAGAGCCAGAGATTATATGGTGAAACCTTGTCTCACTAACACCAGCAAACCATGCACCCTCCCCGAGTGCATACAAAGAATCAAAAGCATTAAAGCTATCGCCTTTACCTGCCAACCAGATCCAAAGTTTCAGAGTATGGAAATATATGCCAAGTTTAAAACTTGGTGAAAAACAGAGCTTCTGGGGATCAGTTTGTGTTGGTCAATGGATTGTATCAGTATCAATGGTCATTCCCCATTTCCTTAATTAAACACACAAATAATCCTTTTATCACCTTTCAGACATTACCTCCCAACACATGAATTTCATCCTAGGAAGTTATTACTGATTTGTTTGTGAGCTACAAAACAACAGGCTCGCCGGGCAATGGTGGCACATGCCATTAATCCCAGCATTTGGGAAGTAGAGGTGGGCGGATCTCTGTGAGCTCGAGGCCAGACTGGTCTACAAAAAGTTCCAGGACAGCCAGGACTGTTTCACAGAAAACCCTGTCTCAAAATAACAAAAACAACAACAAGAAACCAAAACAACCAAAAAAACAACAGACTCAACATAAATCATCTCTATATAATAAGGAAAGCCTGATGAATGTATGGCCAATGAATACCGCTAAAGAGATAAAGGAATATTTTATTCTTGCTAACAAATTGAAATACTATACTTTGATGAGATTACATAATAGTCAAGTTTTTTTTTTGTTTTTGTTTTTCATGTGCAGTGTAAATTAAACTGGTTACATACTTTAAAAAATTTAACCATGCTAATTTATACAACGACATTACTCTTCCAAAACTCTATGCATCTATCTAACAGCTGTGTGGCAAGTTGCAAAAGGCACAACAAGGATATCATTCACAGATACATATCTATATCTATATCTATATATTCTGAATATATGATATATACCATATATTCTATGTATGTAATATTAATACAAATTCTAGTTTTCATTGTGAAGCAATTATAGTTCTTTCCAGAAGAAAAATCAGATATTAGGTCCAAAGATAGCATCTACATGTACAAAGAACATGCCTCATACTCTATTTCCTCAAGTCAACCCTGGGCAGCACTAAGCGTTTACCAAAGTAACGATATGCAAAGCGCCAGAAGCAGCTAATACCCAAATACGATTACATGCACATCTGATTTTTTTTTTTCCCCCTGGTCTTAACGTTTGATTCAGAGACCGCAGAAGCTCCTTACATCGCTGAGTAAGACGCTGCCAAGAACCTCCAAGAACGCCCCGGGGCCTCAGCAGAAAGTACTGTCCCCAGCCTTCCCCAAAAGCGTCCAGAGTGCCCAGAAAGCCTCAGAGCAGTTTTGAATGGAGCGCCAAGCAGGCTGTCTGCGGCTACGGGACGAACGCCGGGAAGAGGCCGAGTGCCAGCCTACCCTACACTAACCTGGCAGCCACCATGCGCGGGGGGTCTTCCGGGCTAGCGACGCGCTCAGGCCTCGGTGCCGGCCGAAGAACGCAGCCGCCCAGCCCCACCTCCGACAA